TTGTCAGTGCTTAGAGAAGAATATACAGGCTGACGGTATTGCCTGGTACATAAACAGGAAAAGAAAGGCAATGAGAGGTTGCTAATGTTTTTAGATTGGATAGTTGTGTGTGTATCCTTCTGACTGCCATACCACCATTCCAGTGAGTTCTGTGGTAGCTTGCATTCTGCTTCTGTCTGAAGCAATGATTCTAAGACAGTTGCTGAGTTGATCTGGGTGGGCCTACATGGAGGCTATCTGAGGGGAAGGTTTCAGGGCCTTCATTTATCAGAATAAAAATCATGTAACAAGTAAAAAAAGAGATATTTTCAGACTTTGAATTCTGCCCATTTTCTGACCCAAGACAATGCAGGTGTATTGCCCAGTGCAGCACAGAGAATAGTAGAGGCAGCTATCCAAGAGGAGACAAGAGATAGAGAGATCATTTTATGGCAGGTTCCTGCACCATGTGTGGCCTGACGCTGGCTATAGGTTCCAAGGTGGAATGATGCCCTCTTCATACAGCTAGCCTTGGCATAGTCTACTTCACTCAGTGGTAATGGCCAGTCCTGCTGGCAGTGCCAGAATAATAGAGACTGAAGCGACAATCTCTGATTTGATTAACAGTGCCTACCATCTCCCAGCTTTAGCCTTGAAGAACCAATGTGACTTATAACCTGCTTAGATGCCTCTGTGTCCTGGCCCACAATCTGATCGAGAAACCTAGGATATGTCAAACAATTATTCCATAGTTATTGCTTTGCTAATGATAGAGAGGACATTCTCTTCTGAACTCTGGGCCTGTGGAGACTTGAGCTGTGGCTGCTAAAGGAATCCACCGTGTGTTTAAGTAATGTGTAGAAGACAAAGTTCACAGTGTGAGCAGCAAAGAAAGGAGAGGGACATTACTAACAGCCTGTAGATTGATTTCTAACCATAAGGGGCAGCACTGCTCTGATCTGGGATGGGTTTCCTTGTGTTGGGGCCAGAGCATTTTTCTTTCTTGATTTGATGCAAGGAGTTCTAATAACAGAAACCTTTCCATTTGGGGTTAGTCCCGGATCTTCAGCTTCAATGTATTTTTGCTACTTTTATATCTACTTCCTCATTACTTCCTGCTATTCCTGAATCACGATGTAGCCACCCTAGTGCTGTAAGCCAAGCTCCCCACCATTATTCTAAGCCTTGCCAAACTCACAGCCTTCTCTTCTCTGGATGGCCCAGCCAGCATGAAGCCTGCTTCCTGAAACTCCACCCCTCTTCTCTGTTAACACTCTCTACTATTTATCTAAACGAATATGTGTTTCTTCAGAAAGACTGCTGACTCCTTGGAGGACAAGAATCTTCTTATTCCAATTCCCGTTGCTTAGTGCCACAGTTAACACACAATAGGCCTCCAGAAATATTTGGTAAATGAATCAAGTTAAAATCCTCATCTTTGGCAGATCATGCCTGATTAATGGGGAGAAAATAAATATTTCTTTTTATGCCTTTGCTGGTGCAATCTGCAACTCCCCGAATTCTCTAGGAATTTTATCATATTCTCTTCCCTGTGTGATTAGTGTCAGTACTGAATAGTTAGCTCCTCTGGTAGGGATGGAGGGACTTGGTTTTCCCATGCTCACAACTGTCTCCTCTCCTGCATATTCAAATGTGTCTGCAATTTGAGTTTGGAGCTGTGCTGGCATTGCATCATATCTTAGAGCAAGATACACCTTCCTACATGACAGTGGTTTCTAACCTTTCTAAAGTTGCAACACTTTCATACAGTTCCTCACGTTGTGGTGTCCCCCAACCATAAATTATTGTGTTGTTACTTCATAAGTGGAATGTCGCTACTGTTATAAAGTGTAATGTTAATAATTGATATACAGTACATCTGATATGTTACCCATTGGGGTCACAACCTTCATGTTGAGAACCATTGCTTTATAGAAATGGAGAAATCACCCCTTCTTATAAGATTTATATTTGATCCAGATAATTAGCAAATTTAACATATTTAATAACAGATTCCTTGACACTCATTTAATGCTAGACACTGTTCTGAGCATATAATAATATGAACTAGTTCCTCCTCATAACTACCTACCAAGCAGAAAATAAATGTTTCTCTTCTGTTGGCCTCATTACACAGATGAGGACATAAGGATACAAAATGGTTAAGGAACTTACCCAAGGTCATTATAGGGATTGGTGGTGTCCTGGAATTCAAATTAAGCAGGCTTACTCCAGAACCTAAATGCCAACCATTCTGCCCTCCTGCCTATAAATGCAAACGGGGAATCTATATACCACATATCGGAGCTCTTCCTTTATCAGTTGATTTTGCTTTTGAGTGAGTCAAGAGCTGGAGGCCTCTTCTACTTTCATGGAGAAGCATGGAGATATCTGCTTAAATGTCTCCATGCTCACTGATTCATTGACTGCGTCTTGAAGATAGACATATGTGTGTTCAATTCTTATTCACATTGTAATCAAGCCAGTCCTGCCATTCGCTTCCTCAAAATACATTTTCAAACAACCTAGGAACCATGCCAAGAATTTGCTTCAATTCCACATTGTACCAGTTTTGAATCTAGAGATGACTCGAAGGCAAAAACGTGTGTTATTTAAAATTATTAAACAATATTAAGTGAATATGATACTGCCCCTAAAGAAAGAAAATGAAATGCAATGTCTCTTTTTATTTTTAATTGTTCTAGTGTTTAGGATCAGCTGGGTCATTTTCTCCTCATAAATTTGATATTTTATTGAACTGGTTCATGTTTTGGAGTGCTCAGGCGTCATCTCTTACTGTTCAGCCAAACAGAAGCAAATTCAAATGCTATTCTGCATCTGTATATGATGAAAGGAACATAGACAACATCTGGTGGGGGAAGCTGTTGCTTTGATGTGGGGGCTACTCATTTTGCTATGTTTGGATACTTTTGAAGCCTTGGATATTTCTAAATTGAATCCTAGGAAGAGTGTATTTATAAATAGCAAGCATAGAAATGAGCACATTTGTACTGTCTTATTCCTTATATAGTCCTAATAGCCCACACTTCCTCTTACTGTAGAGCATGGGCTCTCCTGAAGCTTTAATAGCTTAGCTGGTTATAGTTAGTTGGTGGTTCTCAATTTGGTTTATCCCAACATACCATCTGATAAAAACCATTTTAAAATCTCTTGTATTGTTAATAAATAATACAAGCTGTGAGCATACAAAATTTCAACAAGTAAATAGAATGTGTTAGTAATAATTAAGTGAGAAACAGCAAATAACTTATAGTGGGATAATAACTGTTTTAACATGTAAATATTGTATTACAGCACAAAAAAGTGCCACTACAGACATTTATACATAATGTAATTTACTTAATATGAGTCATAATGGTTATGAGATATATAATGAGAAAAATAGAGACTGATGAATTTTGCTGTAATACATCTAGTGAAATGGTACACTACAGTGGTCCTAATATTTCAAAGGCAGAGGCAGGAGGGTCAAGATGTTAAAGCTACCCTCAGATATAAAGTGAGTTTGAGGCCAGCCAGGGCTATGTTAGACATTATCTTGGAAAAATAGCAAAACAAAATAAATGCAAACCAGTATATGCTGTGTTGATGAATCAATGATTATACAATGTATAATTTCCCCTCAATCTGCATAATAGCTACACACCTGAGATGGATCTTCTATTAAAACTATACAAGCTACTTTGTGTTTATACGTAAATGGAGTTAGCATTTGGGTTCCGATTTACAAGCAGTTTTTAACCACTTAAGCAAATGGCCGTATGACATTCAAAAGCTTGCAGGACGTGGGGACATTTTATGTTATGAAGAACCATCTTGGGCACTTCAGTATTCTATTCATCCTATCCCTACCCTTTAAATGCCAGTGCTGTTCAACTACCCATGTATCATTCAAGAACAATCCTTTACATTTTTCTCAATTCTGTCTCCTGATAAGCCTTGCACTGGCAACCATAGAGTTAATGATTAATATTAGATTTAGACCCACATAATAATTATAATATATTCTCTGACATTTGTAGCCCCTAGGAAACAAAAGAATAGCCAAAATAAATGTTCAGTAATTGGATTAATTATGAGACTCTTCCATAATTATGCTTCATAATTGAACGACTAAGTCCACTCAGTGCACACAATAGCTCAGTACTTAGCTCAAGTTCTAGGCTTTAGGAAGACTTGTTGGAATGAATAGCTCATTTGGGATTTCCATGGCTGAGCTAGTGAAAAGATACACATTGTTTAAAGGAGATCGTTCCTACTTTCTAGAATGCTTGCCAATGCCCAGATGTTTGCTAGCAGGGCGGAGTTGAAAATGTCTTGAAAAGAACAATTGCTTCTGTTTGTGTAAGTGCCATTAAAAATGTTTAGCTACATCTGGAATATCTCAAACACTGAGGACCCTCACGTCATTTTGAGTAGGGAGAGAACACTGAAGACTCTGACCTGTGACCTAAAATTTTGCCTAACCTTCATGAGGGTCTGTGAAAGTGCTATTATTAACCCATACTTGTATTTATTTATTTTTATTTATTTAGCAAATGAGAAGGTAGGGTCAGCAAGGCAAACTATCCACCTTACTCAGACAACTGACTCAGTAGCAGAGCAGCCTTGGAATACAGAAATGGCTAGTTTCAAAGAACTTGGCTTTTTAAAAGATACCATGTCTCCCCTCACCCCCATCTTTCTTAAGCAAGGTAAACATGGGTTTCTGTGAATATACAACAGATTACAAAAGGTTGTAAATTATGGCTAAATTCCATCTTATTCTGTACAACAGCACTGTCATGTCTTATCAATTTCTGCTTTCTTGGTAATTCAGTGATTGTATTTTTTAAAACTAACTTTGTTTTTGGTCCCTTTCCTGGGCTCACATTTATGAACTTCTTGAGGGCAGGGAATATGTGCTCTGCATCTCTGGGTCTTTAGAGCTTAGCACAGTACCTGACATGAAGAGAGTGTTTGTTGAATGGACTTTAATTGAATGATGTTTCTCCTTTTAGGCCTTGGCCTTACACAATATTTCAGCGAGGCTTTGACCTGGTTTTGGGAGAGCAGCCCTCTGATAAAATATTCAGGTAAGTTCACATCCAGGGACCTGCTTGTATCTATCAGTCCAGTGCTCCACCTCCCACTGAACATTTCCAGTGTTAAATGCAAGACACACTTGGACTTGTTATGTCTATTAGAACACCAGTACTTCACCCAGATCATACCCAGTAGCAGGATGGAGGGCTGTGAAGTCAGACAGATTCTGTCTGGGTCCGAGTTCCTTCATTGCCAGCTCAGCGAGCTTCAGTAATGTGCTTAACCTCTCTGAGCCTCCAGTTTCCCCATTTGTTAAATGGGGCTATATTACATGCCTGGCTGGATTATTGTGAGGGATATATGAGATAATACGGGGAAAGTCCCCATCACGAAATCTGGCACAGAACAGGCAATTAATGTCAGTTTCTGCCTCTCCACTTTACATCTAATTTGCACCTTCCTCATAGAGCCTTGAGTTGTTCAAAATTAATCTCTCCCGCCCCTGCCTCCCTCTATTCTAAACTCTACCTTATTATTATTTTCTTTTATCTATTACCCTCCTGATCAAATTTGAAGATTCTAGTCCCTCCCAATTTCTACCTGAATATCTGGTAATAGCACATATTACAAAGAGTCATAAGCAAAGGGAGAATTTGGGTGCCAGCCATGAACTATTGAATTTTCATAAAATTTAATTCACACCAGGCCTTTTCTGGAACACAAGCTTATTTCCAATCTAAGATCTTATTGTTCATTCCTGTAGTCAGTTTGTCCTTCACTTAACATACATTTACCATGTACCTACTTAGAGCCAGAGACTGTGCTTGGCCTGGTAGTATGGACTTGGTCTTCCTCCACTTTTGGAGGAAGTGAACAGAACTTCACAGGTGGATATTGTCAAAGAATGTGTTCAATTACTGCATGACATTTCTCGAAAGATGGTGAGTGGTGGAGGATGGGGGGAGAGCTTGCTTCCTTGTTACTGTAGTCATGCAGTTGGCTGAGGTTCACTTATTTCTATATTCTCTAACTCCTTCTCCATCAGTCATACCTAGCTTTGGTGTTGATGTTTGCCCCTACATTCGCCATCTTGAGTTCACTACCACTTGCAACTTGTGCCATTCCTCCTCTTTACTTAGGACAAACACAGTTACAGTTCACATTTATATGAACACTTCTTCAAATGGCCTCTACTTGTCCTTCAGTCTCCTGAGTATCTCTATCCAGGGCAGGTTGGGTCAAGGTAATGATGCTGGATGCAGGCTGCATTTGAATACTTGAGCTCTAGGAGAAATCAGCAATAGTTACTATACTTAAATTTTCTAACACTGATATTGTTTTTTCATTTGGATGACTTTACCCATTTTCTCACTGTTCACCTGCCAGGACCATTGAATATAAAAAAGCAAGGTGATTGGGAACCAACAAGAAGTTTTGTTGATTAGCACAAATAAGTGCTCTGTTTCCTACAAATTGTAAATAATTAATAATAAAAAATAAAGGTTTTGGTCAAATCTCTATAAGAGCAGAGCTTGCATATGAAAATATGTTCCACCTCCACAAACATTTTTTTCTAATTTATTGGCTGACAAGTGGATGTGACAGCCACACACGGCTACAGAGGGGAGCAGGTGTGTGGCTTAATCCATGACTTCACTGCCTCAGGAGCCAGTGGGGTGATCAATATGTTATTAATAATTTTGGTCACTCACATGACAATAACTCTTTTCTCAAATGAATACAATGGGTTGTGCTTCACTTATTTTGGGCATTTTTAAATTAAAACCATTCTGGCATCTAAGCCAACCATTTACCAATGGAAATTCTGAGAACAGTTTGATCTGGTCAGTGATGAAAATTGGTTATTTGCTTGCTGCTGTACTGATTCATGATTTTATCATGACCAATTCCAAGCCACTATATATTTCTCTAATCTGTGAAATAGAGTTTAAATTCTGGCATTCAAATCTTTCTACCAGTGAAAGTTAACATTCAACTATTAAATAAGTTGCTCTTCTCCTGTGGAATTTTCCATTCTTGGACAAATCTATCTTCTACTGTATCCAATTCATTGTATCCAATATTTTCTCATATTTTATCATTCAGCAAGATTGCATATTTTCCTTCTATTATAAACATTAAACATTTTTATGGTGCAGACCAGGTCTCCAGATTTGTTATCTCCTGAGCATCCATCATCCCAAAGCACTATTTGAGATGCTGTAGGTATGACCTTGATAGACTTGTAAAGAAGATGCCTGTCTTTAAGTTCTCAGACTTGCCCAAGAGGTGGTCTCTTTTATCCTTGGCCCTTTGTGATAATCCCTAGGCTTTATAAGGACTAATGCACCCAGTACAAATCAACTTATTCAAAAGTACTGGAAGTTGTGCCCAGGGAATGAGTACTTTCTAATGACATCATGGTAAATTTCGTCTACAAGCATGATTAATAAACATTGCTATAAATCTCCTGTACTGTTTCATAATGAATGACTATAGTAGTTAATTGTCAATTAATTTATCTCAGATTTACTTTTAACTTGGCTGTTTGCTTCTGAATGAAATGGTTACCTTCTTGAAGAAAGAAGTGGTTCCACAGAGAGCTTTACAGATTTGATATGGTTTTGAGCATGAAGTAGGTCTTTGGCAGGTATATGTAGGTGGTCATTTTGGGTATCTCCCAAGCTTTTGAAATCAGACAAGGAAAGACTATGGATGATGAACCCAACTTTGAAAACCAGAAATCCCAAGCTAGACACAAGAGAGCCCTCGTTCACCCAGCTGTGTTTTTATATCAATGACATTCTCATGATGCCTCATTGTGAAGATCCATTTATTCCACTGGAATCTCTGGTGCTAAGAACTAGTGCAAGCCACTTTTTTCATCTCTGTGACCTTCCCTCCAAGTGTATACCTTCATCTGTGAAAATAACACTTTGTCCTAGAAAAAAACTGGCCTGGGGAATGGTGAAGACACCAGGTCAAAAGCTATTATGTTTTCCCACACTCTATTTTGCACCAAGCTAGACCACAGGCTTATTCTGCCCAACATTAGCTAATGAGTGTTTGCCTCTGAACAGAAGTTTCTACCTGGGTTTCATAGGGACTGTGCAGCTTAAATCTGAGTCCTCAAAGCAGTGGTCACCACCAGCTGTCTCTAGAGAAGGCACAACGTGGGCGAACATTCCAGATGCTCACTCAGCTCCCTTTGGGTAGTGTTTTTAAAGTCACCCCTGCCAAATTTGCATGAATGAGGGGCAGATGAGATTTCAGAACACAGCTTTTTTTCTAACAGCTTAGACTATATTTGGATTTTGGAGTTGTTCAGTAGATTTTCAAGGGAAAGAAAGTTTTAGAATTTCATAGGCACCAGCCAGCATGGGCTGTCAGGATGTTGGAATCCATATCTGACCAACTCCATCTTTCTTTTCTACAAAGGGTTGACCTTTGGGGGTTGGTCAGTGACCTCCTTATGGTATTAAATGGTGGGTTTGTAAAATGGGGCCAAAGAACTCACCTTCGGAGAAGGCCATCATGAAAACAAATGAGTAATTCTGCCAAGTGCCTGCTTTTTTGAGAGTTCTCAATAAATGTTAGTTTCATTCCACATCTAACTTGGCTTTCCCTATGGAGTTTCACCTTGAGTCTATCACAGACTGGAAGAAACTATATTGCTTTTCTTGTTAACTAATAGAGCAGTTCATCTTCTGCTTCTCATGGAAACTATGTCTTGGTCATTAGATCCATCCAAACTCAAAGCTTAGCTCACATCTTGTTTACCACAAAAGATTAGCTTCACCAATGTATTCCCTATATTTGCACCTTTCAGGTATGTCACACACGTGCCATTGAAAATGAATGAAAGGAAATATTTTATTGCTTAGTTAATTACTGTTTACTGAGTGATGTTCTTAGTCTAAGAATTGTGTTAAGTGCCCACTGCTAGTTAAGAATACACATTATCCTTAATGACAATGAACCCAGAAAAAAGACAGGTGCAATTCAATACATGGATTGCAGCAGAGATTGTGTAATGTGGAAAGCAGAGAGTCACTTGCTTAGACTGAGTGTTGAAGACCAAGCTTCTGGGGGGACTTTCTGGAAGGGTTTGTGACTGCCAATGAGTGTTTAAGTGAATCAGTTGAGGTGAAGAAAAGAAAAGATAAAATCCAGAAAGAAATAATGATAGAAGCAAGAGTAATGGGATCAAAAGTGTAGAAGGATGTTAGGAACTGCAATCATATATTATGGAGGGAATGGAAGTATGAAACAGGGCTGGGACCAGAAGAAGCTAAAGAAGTGATTGAACTGACATCTTCAGAACTTTGAACTTTGCATCCACAGGACTATGTCGAATAGTTTCAGTTGGGGAAAGTTATAGATGGCTTTTTCTTAGGAATACTGTGGGATGGTTAGGCAGGATCCCCACTTTTCTATAAAAATAATTAACCATCACAAATGTACTAAAATCTAATGTAATAGGTTTTCCTAAAACCTGTTAACATTATACAAGTAAAAGTATAATTTTAACCAAAATAGAAAACAAAGGTCAATGTCCAATGAACCATCAGAATCCTGATGTCATTCAAACTTGTGGTTGTTCTTCTGAAATGGTACATGCTAATGCTGCCCTTGTTCAAGCTGACTACTCTAAGTGTCCACCTCAAGAATGTCCTTTACGAAGTCATACAAATGCCTGAAGGTTATTGTTGTGGGATATTTGTATACTGTGTGAAGATACATTGCTATGATTGGTTTAATGAAGGACTGATTGGTCAATAGCTAGGCAAAAAGAAGTTAGGTAGGATTTCCAGGTACAGCAGGGACTCTGGTAGAAAAGAGGTAGGGAGACAACAGGAGATGCAGAGCAAGTAGGATGTGCAGGAGGAGAGGTAACAACCATGAGACGTGTGCCAGAATGTAGATTAATATAAATGAGTTAATTTAAGTTATAAGCTCTAGTTAGGAGTAAGTCTAAGCTAAGGCCAAGCTTTCATAATTAATAAAAAGTCTTCATGCCATTATTTGGGAGCTGGATGAACAGAGAAAGACTAGTTACATACTTTTCTTGTACCCAATGCCAGCTGCTCAAATTCTTGTCTGTACAGCAGGGCCTCTTAAAAAAGCCATGTCTCTGCACACTGAGCCTACCTGAGGGACTGCTTTCTCAGGCCTTATGTGGGTATTTGAGCCTCATATTAGTCACCATAAGTAACAAGTCTATGCTTCAATACACTTTTAATTTTAAGTCCCAGACTCAGGGCACCTTGGAAAGAACTCATCATCCCTGGATCACCCTGTTATTGCCAAAATATTACCAAATGGATTTGTGTGTGTGTGTGTGTGTGTGTGTGTGTGTGTGTGTGTGGAGGTGCTTCAATAAATATTGTGCCTTCAATAAATATTCCTGGTTGATTTTTTAGTGAATGAAGCAATAGCCTTTAGTATTCACCCCCACCCTCACACCAAGTCATAGGCTTGTCTCCTGCCTAGATGCAGAAAGATCTGAGAGCCTCCTACAGAGTGAGAAACATCTCAGAGCATTGCCAGAAGTTCAGAGGATTCAAAAGAGTAGAGGACTAAGAAACAGGGCAGAAATAGGAGAAATATCTACCAAATCAGGCCACATCTCACGTCCACAGAGATGTATCCCTCTCCCAGAATCCTTTGTGGTGTTGCTGAGACCTGTCTTCTTCTCTTTCAGCAATTCTGATGGGA